GTTAGATTTGGCGAGGTGAAGTGAGGTGCGGTGAATTTAGTTGGGGTGAGGTGAGGTTAGAGAAGAGAGTGTTGCTGCCTCCGTTGCTTCCTCGGCTACAAGTGCACTACTGAAAATGACAAGGAGGAAAAACACACCGCCATACCTCCTCTATACCTGTCTCGAGGGAGGGAGGGAGGGAAGAGGAGGGAGGGGAGAGAAGGGAGGGAGGGAGTGAACTAGGTGAAGCGACTCGTCAAAGGTAGGTATGGCAATCCCAACCTTATAAAAATTCCTCATAATGTGATGCTGCGCCTTCCATAAAAGATTCTCTTTCTCTCTCTCTCAACGAAGATTTTTCCTTCCATATATTTTTTCTCACTATTACAACCCCACTACAGCACACATACACTATTTTACACGTACACAATACACATACGCCCCCAACACACTTCCCAGGACACACTTGCCCGGCTTCCTGAACATAAACTCAACCTCTCTCAGAGTTACGGCCTCACAACTAACCAAAGTGTGTACTGTACTTCCGGGTGGGATTCTCAAAACACAAAGACGCTATTACAATAAGTTTGACTTCCAGCAACACGTTATTACTGGATCAACCCGGAAGTGATTAAGAAAAACTAAAGAGCTAATATTAAAGCAAATGTCTTCCATGTGGAGATAATTAGAAAGGATGCTTCAAAACTCACAAACACACGCGCGCGCACAAATACACACACACACGCGCACAAACACGCGCACAAACACACACACACTAAATTGGAAAACACACGTCAGTGAAGTTGTCAAATCCTCCAGTTTCCGTCTCCACCTCCTCCGCCGACTCAAGTCCCTCGGAGTTCCTGCACACGAGCTCCTCAGTGTTTACACAACATTCATACTTCCCAAGCTCACCTATGCCTCCCCTACCTTGTCTTCCTCCCTAAATGCCACACAACGTAAACACCTAGAAAAACTGCAAAAGAGGGCATGCAAGATTATTCTCTCCCCTTCCTACTCCACATATCAAGAAGCGCTCAACACACTGACCCTCTAGGCTCTCTCTGACCCTCACCACGACCTCATCTGCAAATTTGGTGAGAAGCTTCTGCACCACCCTCGACACCGGCTCCTACTACCACCCGAGATCCCTCGTCAGAGAATTGCTGTGCCATGCTCTTTCAATAAATCGTTAATTATTATCATTATTATTACTATTATTACACACACGTTTAATTTGTAGATGTTAATTGGTATTATATAATGGACCTACCGACTCCTGTCTACTATACAAGCGATTAAATCCAAACACGATGGGAGAGGAGAAGGAAAAGGGAAGGGGAGAGAGGGGAGGGGCGGGGAGAGTGAAGGAAAAGAGAAGAGTGGAGAGAAAAGAAGTGAAGGGATAAGAAAACGTGTTCTCAAGTAGTTATTCCAGAGAGAGAGAGAGAGAGAGAGAGAGAGAGAGAGAGAGAGAGAGAGAGAGAGAGAGAGAGAGAGAGAGAGAGAGAGAGAGAGAGAGAGAGAGAGAGAATAACATTTTGAAGGAAGGAAGGACTACACCACCATTTTTTTTTTCATTTTTATTTACAGGGATTAGCCCACCCGGGCACAGGTCACTGACCCACATCGGGGCCTGGGGGGCGAAAATGTAATAATAATAATAATAATAATAATAATAATAATAATAATAATAATAATAATAAAAATAATAATAATAATAATAATTCATAGACTGATGAATAACAATACACATCAACAATTAAAAACTTGCCCCCTTGTTAGTTACCTCTATGAACGTCTTCCCACCTACCAACTTCTCAGAATGGGAAGATTCAACGTCACTTCTCCAACAATTTCTTCACAAAGCGGGATTTTCCGCAACATCTCAAAATTGTGCGTCTATATCCAATTTATGAGCGAGTGAGTGACGTGACGGGTGAGGGAGGAAAGGAGGGGGGAAGGAGGAGGACAGGGATAGAGGGGAGGAAGGGGAAGTGGGAGGAGGGGGAAGTGGGAGGAGGAGGACGGGGGTAGGAGTGGGAAGACGAGCACGTGGAGGGGGTGGTGTGGGGAGGCGACTGCGAACTGCTGTGATTTAGTGACGACGCAGTAAGCCTCCTTTCCCCCCTCACTGTCAGACCTCCTCCCGTCTATTTTGACAATGGGGAGAGAAATAAATTTAATAAGGAGTTTCCGGTTAAGTCGTTCGGTTCTTGAGGATAGGCCAGTAGTAATTTTCCGGATTCGAAATTGATTGGGGGTTGGATTTAGAATTGGCCAAGGAGTCGGATTCATAAAGGCTCGTACGATGGCTTGTCAAGGTCAAGAATCGTTTGGGAAAAGGCGAAGAGACAAATTAAATATATTGACGATAATGATGATAAAGGAAGGAAAAGGTAAAACACGAAGATGGTGAAAAACAAGAACAAGAATATGTCCAAAAATATTATTCATTACAACAAAACAAAGAGAATAACTTGGTACACACACACACACACACACACACACACACACACACACACACGCACGCACGCACGCACCACCCAACAACGTCAGCTAGAGAAGGTACAGAAAAGGGCCTGCAGAATCATGCTCGGCGCAGAATACTCCGGCTACACCAACGCTCTCTCCACCCTGGAAATGCCATCCCTCAGTGACCTCCACCACCAAGCACTGGAAAGGTTTGGCCATGGACTACTGCACCACCCTCGCCACCTCCTGCAGCCCCCCACCCAACTCGCGCAGTCCGCCACTACAACAAAATTCAGCCCATAAGAGCCCGCACCGATAGATATAAGAACAGCACCATCCCATCTATTGTTAAAATAATAAACAACTCCTGATTTATGTACTGTACAGCCCTGTAAATGTATTCAATGCATATTATATCATTATGTCTAAATCAAATGTAAGTCTGTATATTTTCAGCCACCGGCTGCAACTCTATAAACCGTTTATTATTATCACACACACACACACACACACACACACACACACACACACACACACACACACACACACACACACACACACACAGGGCTTGTCCGATGTTTGCAATAAAAATCTGAAGAACAACACATTTTTACAACTTTCTACCTCATCCCTTCCTTCACCTACCGTTTTGAACAATGTGTAATAGGGGTGTAGAGGGGGAGAGGGGTGGGCTACATGTGGCACTGGTGTCAGGCCCTCACCAGGAGTGTGTGCCACCTATGTAGGGACAAGTAAAGAGGAACGTGCCTGCGGGTGGGTGGGTAGGGAGTAGAACTGTCTTGCTGGGGTAACAGACTATGACAAGAGAAAAAAATCGACCATAAAAGAGAAACAATAAAAAAGAGGAAAAGGGGAAAAATAGAAAAAAGTAATACAGAACAATAAAAAAAAAAATAACAACAGACGGACGAGCAGACATACCCAGTTCACACAGAGACGCAAACGGCTATACAATCTGGCATCTGGGCCGCGTCACACTGTCAACACGGGTCCCAAAACACACAACGAATATAATAGAGACAACTCGGACGAAAGCTTACAAGAGAGAGAGAGATATTTAACTATACATTGACCTGGATATAATAGTCAAAAAAATCCCTCCACATTACCTTTTCATCCTCAAAATGGGTATCAAATCAATTATTCCCCGCGTTAGTTGCCTCTATGAACGTCTCCCCACCTACCAACTTCTCAGAATGGGAAGATTCAACGTCACTTCTCCAACAATTTCTTCACAAAGTGGGATTTTCCGCAACATCTCAAAATTGTGCGTCAACCATAATATCCAATTTATGAGCGAGTGAGTGACGTGACGGGGGAGGGAGGAAAGAGGGGGAGAAGGAGGACAGGGTAGGAGTGGGAAGACGAGCACGTGGAGGGGGTGGTGTGGGGAGGCGACTGCGAACTGCTGTGATGATTTAGTGACGACGCAGTAAGCCTCCTACCCCCCTCACTGTCAGACCTCCTCCCGTCTATTTTGACAATGGGGAGAGAAATAAATTTAATAAGGAGTTTCCGGTTAAGTAGTTCGGTTCTTGAGGATCCCCCCCCCCTTCCCCACTCGGTCCCCTCTAGGCCAGTAGTAATTTTCCGGATTCGAAATTGATTGGGGGTTGGATTCAGAATTGGCCAAGGAGTCGGATTCATAAAGGCTCGTACGATGGCTTGTCAAGGTCAAGAATCGTTTGGGATAAGGCGAAAAGAGACAAATTAAAAATATTGACGATAATGATGATAAAGGAAGGAAAAGGTAAAACACGAAGATGATGAAAAACAAGAACAAGAATATGTCCAAAAATATTATTCATTACAACAAAACAAAGAGAATAACTTGGTAAAAACACACACACACACACACACACACACACACACACACACACACACACGCACGCACGCACGCACGCACGCACGCACGCACGCACGCACACAAAGCCTAACAATAACATACTTACACTGAGTTGACACAACACAGTAACCTCTACTACTGACGAAAGTAAAAAGGAGGAGGGGTGGTCGGGAGGGGAGGATAGGGTTAATACTTATGTGTGTGATGACGAGCCCTCTGGTGTGGTGATGGTGGTGGTGGGTGAGAGTCAGGTGCTGTGTGCGTCGACAACCTTCCTGTGGGTATTGACTGTAAGGACAAACGTTGCTGGCGAACGAACAGAAGAGAGTTTGTAAACAAAGTCAAAATTGAACACCAGTAACCAACAGGCCCCAACTTAACCTGACTTGAGGGCGGGGTCTATTAGGACTTGGGCCCCAAATCCTTGTGGGTTTGGTTAGGTTGGGGTCTATTAGGACTGGGGGCCACATGTGGTCAAGTCACCCGTTAAACAAACCTGGATCATGTGGGCCACTGGTGGATCACGGTAGGTAACTGCTAGGTCAACAGGTGAGAGAAACACAGGTAGGTGAGGGGGGTCAAACCTAGTGGGTTAACAGGTGAGCCACACAGGTGAGTGTGGGGTCCAACCTATTTGGGCAAAGGGTGGTGAGGAAATTACTAGGTGAAGACTACTTACTTCTGTAGGTCCCGACACTTGACGACCTTGCCGAAGGTGCCCTCGCCCAGAGTAGTAGTGATCTTGTCTGCAAGAGAGCAAGGAGAGGGGATGAGTATCACAGGTACTGGTGACTTGAGCCGCCCGCCGTCTCATATAAACACAGCTACGTTATCCGCGGGGGCCAACACAAACCAAGATTTTTTTTTTATACAAATGAAGAGCTGAAATATTCGTTGAAGATCATTATCGGATATTTACAGGGTAATTCATACAATGAATAACACTGTGTATCCCCTTCCAGTCTCTCATTAAAGTGTCAAAGCTTTTCTTTTCGATGAAAAGTATCAGTACTTGAGAGGGAAGGAGGAGCGTCTAGTGTTGAGAGTTAAGGCTAACAAGTATGGCTGGGAAACCAATGGTAATGTAGAAAACTGTAAGTAGTGTGTCTTTATTTAAATAAATTTGAGCTTTCAAATATTGTCTAAGAATCTATGTGTGTGTGTGTGTGTGTTAGCTATGTGATGGCTGGAGTGTTACCAAGTGAAGAATTCTGTATCAAGAACTGAGTGTGAAAGGGAGTAGTGTCATCAACTATGAGGAGAAAACAAAAAATGAAGATAAAACAGGGAGTCTTATTCACGAACATCTATCTTGCAGCACGTCGCCATTGCGGTATATGAGATGTCCGTCTTCATCATCTTCCACTGAGGGTGCCCGTGAACTCTGGAGGGAGCCCGGCCCATCAAACGCCCGCCAGCCCGCCCGCGCCAACACCACCAGCACCACAGCACCAACAGCGACAACACAGCAGGCAGGAGCAGCAGGCACGGTGGGGCATCAGTGGGGGATGATCACATGGTTCAGCACCACAGCCGTGTCACACGACGAACCGCAGGGCAACAGGCCACCAACAAGACAGATAAAGAGGGGAGAAGGCAAAATGGTGGCCACTATCAAGGGGAGCCACGGTGGCCACACACCATGGCAGCATGTACATTCAGGCCACGATGGTGCTCTCTCCAACACTTACTCTACAGAGATATATATTTATGTATATATACTGTATATATAGAGATTTATATATAACATTACAACTACCCAACTACTGGTCTAAATATGATCTTAACTTAATACCCAACATAATATTTCATATCAAAAAAATTAATTCAAAATATGATGAAAAAAAAATGTAGTCGGGGGCCGAGCCAGGGAGATGACACACGTGATCCACACTCTCTCACCCACACTAAATAATTGTCTACCTGCTTTACCTTCGTTATTACAAGCACAGGTGCATAACACAATCATATGGCTAATAATGATGACATATATTATCAATAAAATATAATAAATAATATCAAAACAAAAACACTCTAGTAGAATTTTTGGGGGGTCACACACACACACGCACGCACACGCGCGCGCACGCACACACACACACACACACACACACACACACACACACACACACACACAATATCTCCTCGCTGCCCGATCTAAGCATGAAGGCGTAGGCTGTAAGTTGGCACATATAGAGGTGGTCAACATGCTGGGGGTGTTCTAGGAGGGAAGACGCCCTCACAAACACAGCGAGCGAGGGTGAACATGACTGGCTGCCTGTGTGTGTGTGTGTGTGTGTGTGTGTTTTAATCAGATAAAGCTGGTAATTGTGCATGATTCTTTGTGTGTAGTGATGGTCCAACTTGGTGAAATGACGAGCTGTCAGATGGTGGTGATTGTTGTTGAGGTGTTGGTTGTTGTTATTAAGTGTGGTAGTTGCGGTTACTGACGTAGAGGCCCAAGAAAGACTGTGTTGCTTGGGGAGACGGTAATTGTGGTAGGTGAAATGGTAGTTGTGGTTAATGTAATAATGATTGTGGTTGGCGAGACTGTAGTTATAGTTATAGTTATATGAAATGGTGGTCGTGGCTGATGTAAGGGGGATGAGATACTGGTTGTGAATGATTAAATGGTTGTTGTGGTTGGTGAGATGGTGGTTAAGGAACTACGGAAAATAACTCAAGATATACACAAGGGACCAAACACCTGTGACAAATGGTGGTGGTGGTGGTGAGGATGCTGATGATAGTAGTAATATCCACAAGGTAATTAGTATGGTATAGTTATGGACCGAAGATTCTCAAAGGTTTCCTAAGTTACATTTTCTCCTTAACTAGAGATGTGACAGCGACCTTGAAGGTATAAAAAAAAACACACACAACATGGCACCGAAATTGCAGAGACTGTAGACGACTCACTTAATAACGATGGTTTAACTCTCTGACGATGCTGTCTTAACCCCTGGGACGATGACTTAACCCCTGGGAGGATGACTTAACCCTTGGGAGGATGATGACTTAACTCTTGGGAGGATGACTTAACCCCTGGGAGGAGGATGACTTAACCTCTGGGAAAACAATGACTTAACCCTTGGGAGGATGATGACTTAACCCCTGGGAGGATGATGACTTAACCCTGGGAAGAGAATGACTTAACCTCTGGGAAGAGAATGACTTAACACCAGGAGGATGATGACTTAACTCCTGAAGGATGGATAATGCCTCTAACCCTTGGGAGGATAATAGTATAAACCACTAACCATCCTTCCTCAGAGGGCTACTAATGTACCCTTGAGAATCCTGCCCTGGCACAAGAGATGACGAGCGGTGGAGACGTTAATGAATGATTTTCCTTCACCATCAGAATCATCAAGCACAGGTAGTGGTTGTTAGGTTACTGTATATATATTTTTTGTCAGGATGCCACGGTGAGGTGGAGGTTATGACACCGTTAGAGTTATGTCACTCAGCCAAGACAGTACAATCACACAGGACCTCGGGAGGCTGGGAGGAGGGGGGGAGGATTACAAGGAGGAGGAATAGGCTGTGGTAGTAGAGCGAGAGGGATGGTAATAGAGGCAGCAGTAGCAACAGCAGAGCAGCTCTACACTGCTCTACTTACGTCACTACTCACGCTACTAGAGCTGTAGAATGAGGAATAATGATGCTTGGCACTGGTCTTGCCCCCCACCTCTTGGATGCCTAACAGGTCCATCACGCCGGACTTCCTGGGAGGCGGCGGCGCTGCACTTGGACCCACAGCAGACGACGCCGTCGACGTCGACAAAGTCGATTTAAGGTTCTTGCCATTACCCGATGACGACCCATCACCCAAGCTGCTGCCCCCACCGATCTTGGGCTTGTATTTGGCCGCGGAGTAGGCGTCGAGGTTGTCCTTCGGCTTAGAGTGAATGTTAGTGAGAGTGCCACTCGAGGTTTTGGGTTTTACCGACACCGTAACTGACACAGTGTGGTCAAGGTGGGACTTGGGGGTGAGGGCGGGCACGTACGCTATGTTACTCCCCGACGACTTGTGGTTGTTATTGTTGTTTTTGTGAGTGTTGTCATTGTTGTTGGTGATATTGTTGATATTATTGTTGTTGTTGTTATGGGTGTTATGAGGTTTAAATGTGGTGAAGGTGTATTCTTGTTCAGGTTCCATGTAGTTAGTGATTTTAATTGTGGGCGTTGTGGGCGTGTGAACACCGTAGGGGCTATTGGGGGTGTCGAGGAGGGAGGCATAGATCGACTTGGTGGTGTCGAGAAGATTTAGTCTAGCTCTAGACTCAGAGGAGGGAGAGTCGAGGAGGTCGACGGTGTTAGTCCTGGAGAGGGCGAGGGTGGTGGGTTTAGTGGGCTTGCTGTAGCTTGTTTTTATCACGGGTTTCTCGCGCATGGCGGCTTTTTCGAACACAATCGGGGGATCGTACAACACAAAATTTTCGGAATCGGGTGTGCTATGTTTGGACACATTATCGGTGCCTTTGACAGAAGTTCTGGCTATAGCGGAGAGCACGTCTCCCGTGGAGGCACTGCCGTACAACACTTTCCGCGGTGGTCCTTGACTACCTTCTTCGTCTTGGTAGGAGCGGAACGCCGTAACCTTAGCCGCCATCTCTTTCACCTGGTCAAAGCGACGCGTGCCTTGCCGTCCTACACCGTCATGATCATTTGTAACAGCAGTTTCCTGTCCACGCTTGAGGAACCTGCGGTTGTGAGAGCTGCCAATATTGTGTAACACGTTGAGGGGCAGCGAGTACATGTTGATGAGCTGGGCACGCTCTTTACGGCGCGTGGATTCATCAATGATACTGTCGGGCGTAGCAGAGGAGGTGGTGCTGCCTGTTTCCGTCTCGAGGGTGCTGGTGGAGAGGCCCGAGTACCTCTTCATGATGGAACTTGTACTCTCCCGTCCCACAATGGTCTCCGGCACCGTTACAGGTCGGTTCACTCGATGTCTTGCGGAGCCGCTGATCAGGGCGCCGTCACCATTACGTCGGCGTAACTGAGGACTTAGGTTGCCCAGCTTAACACTTCCGTCCTCGATACACCTCTCCATGACATTCGGTGATATTGATCCGTACTGGGACCAATAGTCGGATTTCTTCGTGCTGGCATGATGTCGAAGTAAACCAAGTTCGTCGATACTTTCGTCTTCCTCGTTGCAACCAGAAGAAGTCAGGCTACTTTTCTTCAAAAACCGACTGGGTTTGTACCGAGCACCTATCTTGTCATAGTTGGGTGCCGGGGCAGAGTGGGACACATAAGCACTGTGCAGGCCGTAGTCGGAATCTAGCCCCAGGTCTGAGGCTGTTCGGCTGTAAGTCGGCCGACCACTGCCACTCCCATATCTCTTTCTGGGCGCGTCTTCAATCTTATCGAAGTCTGAATTACCATAATCAGTCTTGAAAGTTGAAAAGGAAGAAAAAGAGGCAGATGGAGCCAAGGCATGGCCACTCCTGTATCCTGAGGACATCCCCGACCCGTATCTGTGCCCAACATCGGCCCCGTATGAAGAAGAAGAGGCCCCGGTTTTACTGCGGGAGGAAGGAACGTCATACTTAGACTTGGACTTCACGTCAGCGAGGAGTGCGGTAGACTTATAGTCTGTGTAGCGCGGCGACTCATCGTATTTGTTGTACCTAAGGAGCATCGGATACTGGGAGTGGGTGGGCTTGCTGGAGGCGGCGGCGCCAGAGCCGCTGGAGGCTATGTTGTTGCTGGTGTTGTGGAGGGGCACGCGGTCATCCCCCGACTGAGAGACAGCTCTCACACGGGAGGCGAACTTGTTGAAGAGGTTGGAGCAGCGGTTAAGGATATCCCCACCTGAGTCTTGTAGGATGTTGGTATAGGAGGTGGTGGCGCTCCTGCCGTATTGCTGACGGGTTCGTCCGCTCATACTGGCGCCTGCCCCCACCACAGCCTCCTCCTACCCTAGTCTCGCATAGCACACGTCACTTTTACACGCCCATTTACAGTGCCACTACTGACACGAAGTCTGGGTCCTTTCCAACTCAAACTTTTTTGTCTGTCAAAACTTAGTGTTTATCATTTGTTTTCGTATCACAGGAGCAGCTGGAGTCCACAAGTAGCCCGAGCGTCCGCGACACAACCCCGCACGTACCGCCACCAGAACCCGAGGACCAGCGCCACTAGCTGTACTGGTGCTGGTGGTAACTTGGTAGGAGGAGACAAGCAGACCAGGAGCAGAATCCCGATGGAGCAGGTAAGTGGGTGAGCAGAATGTAACTGAAGCAGACCTGAGCAGCGGGCACGCAGGGGCACACCAAGCCCACGGGATAAAAATACCCAGGGCGCCGGCACTGGTCTCTAGTAGAGGTGCCCGGTCTGCCAGCCTCCGTCCCCTACCATACTGTCCCACTACCACACACACATTACCATGCTGGTTCGTTGGTATACTAACACTACCATGCCGACACTTATCACACACACACACACACCACCACTCCCACACTATACTCTCAACGCTGACCAAGATCCACACTACACCTCCCACGACCATCCTCGCTCTTCTCTTTATAAATACCCATCTTCTATATGTAGGAACTAGCTAAATTCTCCCCCTTGCTCACCCGCCCACTCAATCACCCGTCATCATCTACCCACAAGTTCACCTACCCATCCTCATCCACCTACCAGCCCACCAAGGGTATCCACCAAATCAAGGATACACAGGCTTACTCACCCCTTTCATCCACCTACTGACCCACTTACTCACACATTCACCTAATGATCATCCAACCACAAGCTTACCTGCCTCCCTCATCCATCTATCGCCATAAATTACTCACCTGCTGCACTTATTTACCCACCCACCCACTAGCTCACCTCAAAGTTCACTCATCCACCTGTCAAACCATTTACTCGACCTCATATATTCACTCACCTACCCATCTTCACTCACTCACTCACTCACTCACTCACTTAAGGCTCACCCGACGAACACACAGTCATCATCCAGCACCGAGCTAACACTTACCACCACCACTACTACACTCTACCATCCCTCCCACGACCGTCGCCAAATACCAACACCATCACCACTATCGCCGTCACCTGTCACCACCACGAGTACCCCCCTGGTCCTTGGGGGATCTTATTTTCTGCGAGGTTCTTCGCGGTCAGGAGAGATCTTTATGCTACACGACCCCCACCCCCCCACACACACACTACTGGAGGTCGTTGTGCTAGATTTATTGATTGAGTGTGACGACCGTGACCAGTCTTATAAGTAGTATGAATCTATATATTAACCTACGCCAGCACGGGCCTACAGTAGCGCCTGACGTTCCCATCCACCCTCTCCCTCCTCTTAGAAGTGTGATTCGATCACCGTATGAGCCCCATTCCCCCTCACAAAGTACTCGAAACCACCACAATAGTAATACACAGTAACCACGAGGCCAGTGAGCAACAAGACCCACGTGACCCGACGATATGTTGTGATCCTTGGAAGACAGAGTATCGTATCGTTCTTCTCACACACACACACACACACACACACACACACACGTGGGCAAGAGCGCATTGCCCACTCATTTCCGGTAGATATTTGGGGTGTGTTAGGGTTGACGTCTCGCAGTTCTGAGAAACGCTGCCTCCTCGTCACACTGGGCCCCTTTCTCCCTCGCTTCTGAATGACAAGTCTCTTTCATAGGGGTGAAGTTTAACGTGAAAGGCAAAAATACTCCATCAATACAGTCAACAAGTTATGAGACGACTAAAACAACGCATTACTTAATATTAATACAAGTCCAGAAATTGATGATTAATTAGTTTCAACAGTAGTTTTATTAACGATGTCGAAATCACAAACACGACCAATTAATAACCGTTAATTACTAAAAGGTTCCCCCTTGATTATCTTTGAATGGAACTAACAAGACAAACACCAATGGGTTAAGTTCAAGAATAATCGACAGGTAGAACACAGTGTCACATACAGACAAAACACCGACGATAAACACATGCGCACACACACACACTACCCAAACGATCCCGCGCGGCACCTGTAATTCCCCCCCCTCCCCCCCACACCGAGCACCTCTCATCCCCGCATTGGCTCGGTGGCTCTTGCTTTAGGACGACCTGGCAAAATATCTACATAAAGTCTCTGCCACAGGACGAGCGACACCAGAGGAGGTTGTAAAGTACATATATAAAAATTATATTCCGGCAGGAGACGAGGACGAACTTAGGCAGTCCTTTGAGCACGATGTTTCTGGCTCCAACCCTCCGACGACCATAAATTAGGCTCTAATCCACGAAAGGGTTAAAACATCATCCTTAAAGGGTTAAAACATCGTCCTTGAAGGGTTAAGACATCCTTAATGGATTAAAACATCGTCCTTAAAGGGTTAAGACATCGTTCTCAATGGGTTAAATTATCGTCTTCAAGGGATTAAATTATCGTCTTCAATGGGTTAAATTATCGTCTTGAAGGGATTAAATTATCGTCTTCAATGGGTTAAATTATCGTCTTGAAGGGATTAAATTATCGTCTTCAATGGGTTAAATTATCGTCTTCAAGGGATTAAATTATCGTCTTCAATGGGTTAAATGATCGTCTTCAAGGGATTAAATTATCGTCTTCAATGGGTTAAATTATCGTCTTGAAGGGATTAAATTATCGTCTTCAATGGGTTAAATGATCGTCTTCAAGGGATTAAATTATCGTCTTCAATGGGTTAAATTATCGTCTTCAAGGGATTAAATTATCGTCTTCAATGGGTTAAATGATCGTCTTCAAGGGATTAAATTATCGTCTTCAATGGGTTAAATTATCGTCTTCAAGGGATTAAATTATCGTCTAGAAGGGATTAAATTATCGTCTTCAAGGGATTAAATTATCGTCTTCAATGGGTTAAATTATCGTCTTCAAGGGATTAAATTATCGTCTTCAATGGGTTAAATTATCGTCTTGAAGGGATTAAATTATCGTCTTCAATGGGTTAAATTATCGTCTTGAAGGGATTAAATTATCGTCTTCAATGGGTTAAATTATCGTCTTGAAGGGATTAAATTATCGTCTTGAAGGGATTAAATTATCGTCTTCAATGGGTTAAATTATCGTCTTCAAGGGATTAAATTATCGCCTTCAATGGGTTAAATTATCGTCTTCAAGGGATTAAATTATCGTCTTCAATGGGTTAAATTATCGTCTTGAAGGGATTAAATTATCGTCTTCAATGGGTTAAATTATCGTCTTGAAGGGATTAAATTATCGTCTTCAATGGGTTAAATTATCGTCTTGAAGGGATTAAATTATCGTCTTCAATGGGTTAAATTATCGTCTTCAAGGGATTAAATTGTCGTCTTCAAGAGGTTAATTTATCGTCCGCAAGGGGTTAAAATATCGTCCTCGAGGATTTAAATCACGTTCTCAAATGATCAAAAAACACAAAGTTGAGAAAGTGCAGATAAAGATGCATGACGCCTCTTTATCTAACACTGGTTAGCGAGATAAACGAAAAGGACCTAACTCCGGATGGTGACTAGATAATAAAAGAATTATAAGGCCAAAACGACACACACACACACACACACACACACACACACACACACACACACACACACACACACACACACACACACACACACACACACACACACACACACACACACACACACACACACACACACACACACACACACACACACACACACACACACACACACACACACACACACACACACACACACACACACACACACACACACACACACACACACACACACACACACACACACACACACACACACACACACACACACACACACACACACACACACACACACACACACACACACACACACACACACACACACACACACACACACACACACACACACACACACACACACACACACACACACACACACACACACACACACACACACACACACACACACACACACACACACACACACACACACACACACACACACACACACACACACACACACACACACACACACACACACACACACACACACACACACACACACACACACACACACACACACACACACACACACACACACACACACACACCAGAATGGATAACCCTGTACTGTACTTGTGAAGGGTTGTGCCGCCGCAGACATTCCACTTGGGAGTAAACAAATGCCAGGCAGCGTACACCACCACCACGCTAGACTATAATGTGATGTTTTGCCACCACCTGCACCACCCTGCCAACACCGTATACTAGACCACCGCCAAACACAAGGTGAGACTCGGTGTTGGTTTCTCTATTTCCATAATTATAATGTCCTGAGGAAAGAGGATGGGGGGTTATTTCCGTATAACTTTAACACGACACTTTCTTTTGGACCTGTGTGTGTGTGTGTGTATGTGTGTCAACATTTGTCTCGTGTGTGTGTGTGTGTGTGTGTGTAAACATTTGTCTCGTGTGTGTGTGTGTGTGTATGTAACATGCGTGTGCGTGGTGTGTGTGTGTGTACGTCAACATTTGTCTCGTGTGTGTGTACCGGAGACGTCAACATTTGTCTCGTGTGTGTGTGTGTGTGTGTGTGTGTGTGTGTGCTGATGTCAACATTGTGTCCATGGGACCAAAATTTCCTCTTGTACACCAACTCCCACAAAACACACACACACAAACGACTACCTCCAGACAACGACAACACGGCATTTACCTAACTTTAGCCACCCTGTACGTTAACATAACCGCCGCCCCTACGAGCGTCAAACACCATAAATCATAGTTTATTACGCGCGTCCAACACATCACTCAATACGCAATCAATCACCCTTTAAATTCTAATTGGCGCATACGTCCCAGGCTAACGCGACACCTGCCCTCACATAAACTAGGATGAGCTGCATTATAGTACCTGCAGCATTTCAGGTCAACATGCACACTACTCTGATACAATATATTGGAGTAATAACCCTTGACTAATTAATTCAGGTGAGTTATCATTAGTAATATTATCATGATAACTATTATTACTGGCACTATAAAATCAACTCTACTGTCTACTGAGACTCTTATCATTATTCCGAGTATTAAAATATTCATAGTACTTCATTTATCAATGTTACTCTATAACCATCATTATCATCCTCATCACCACCATTATATCTTAAGATGTTATCATCATCTTAAGGGTATAATGCATGGCCAAGTTTGAGCCGTTTCTAATTTCTGGTTAAAACCATTTTACGCAAATCTTGGTTGTTAGGCAATAATAATAATAATAATAATAATAATAATAATAATAATAATAAAAATAATAATAATAATAACTTATGCGAGGATCAAAATTAAGTATCACTCTTCGTCACGTGCAAAACAAACCCACCCTCCCGTGCTAAACGAACCCACCGTCCTCCAGTGCTAAACAAACCCACCCTCCCGTGCTAAACGAACCCGCCGCGCACAAAATGAGTCCGCCCACCTAAAAAACTGACCCATTCGTGTACAAAATGAATAACGACACCTAGAAAATGAATTCGTCGAAACACAAAATGAATCATTTCGCGCAGAAATGTAAAAAATAAATAAAATTCGGGTGCGGAATTAATTCAGCCTGCCAATATAAATATGTGTAACCTTGAGCCAAATGAGAGAGAGAGAGACCGTATTAGTACAGATTCCCCACACACACTAACATCGCCCTGAACCAACTGGAAAACAGAATGAAGTACAACACTACACAGAAAAACATCAAGACAGTCCCTCGGTAAACTTGGCTTGGCAGTAATTATTATATAAAATGTTACTTCAGGTAATTAAAATTAACAGGTGGCGTTCATTAGCACAGAGACTGTAAGATGACCCACAATGATTAACAAGGCGATAAAATATTTCACATAGGAGTAATTTCAAGAGTATTTTAATGAACAGTTTTATAGTAGAGAAAAAAAAATCGTAAACAAACTCATATATAAAGATGATATAGGTTAATAAGAGCTACAATACATAACAAAGGACAAAGGTAATAAATATAGAAAGTGAAGGATAATTAAAAAAATATCTAATAAAAAAACAAAAACAATTATAACACTTTGCCCGTTAATAATTTGGTTCTAAATAATAATATACATCAATAGTCTGTAACAGTAATAAAAAATATCGCTTAACATTAACTTTGCAGGTCAGTTCAACAGTCTCCATAAAAATAAAAGCAAAACTAAATTAACAAAAGGCCAGTCACTTAAAACACTAGAATTATCTACTAAAGGTTGCAAGATAATTCAAATCATTTCTACTTAATAATAATAATAATAATAATAATAATAATAATAATAATAATAATAACAAGGCAGTGCAATGGGTCACCGAGGCATCAATCGTGTTGCATCGTGTCGTGTTGTATTTTGTTTTCAATTAACATGTCTATTTTGCCGCGCATTAGGTAGCCTTCCCATAACCGCGTCCTACCTTCCTCCCTCACATCCCTTACCTCTGACGAACTCACTCTCCACCCCCCTAAAGTTTACGTTAGAACACTCCTCTCTGTGTGTGTCCCTCTCCCAACAAGCTGGTCATAATTATCAGCTGGAGCGAACTAGAGAACATCAGGTGCGGGTCCTATAACGCTGCCACTCACCCACAGCCGCCGCCGCCGCCACGAAAGTCTCCCGGGCTGGCAAGAATCACCTGCCCGATATGGTAATTATGGCAACACGCCCCCGCCGCCTTACACACGTCTCTTCTTCCACGACGACCCACTCGACGGAGGAGCAGCAGGGGAGGTACGAGGGAACAACACTTACAATGGTGCTACTGGAAAGGCTAAATGGTGCTACAGGAAAGGAACAATAAAGGATGATTCAAGTAGCAACAAAAAGGATGAATAGATAGGAACGATAGAATAGGTGACCCAGACAAAGGGTGGAGGAAAAAACAGATGGTGGGGAAAAGGTGGTGGAGGAGAGAGAGGAGTTGGGAAACAGTGTGGGGCAGGTATTATACCCATCGTGTGAGTGGTGATGAGTGGTGAGATAGAGGTGGTGAGGGGTGGGAGAATAGGATGAGTGAAGGGTGGTGGGGAGTAATTCCACTAAAACCCCCCGCCCACCAATCACCCACTGTCAATCAAACAGTGTAGGACTCCTTGGTGTCAGGTCTACGCCGCTTCCTCCTATACAGTAGTAGGCTGGTCAAATAGGGCCCCAGTCCTAACAGGTCCTCCAAAAGGTCAACCTAACCACCATGAATCAGGGCCCATCGGGACAGTTACACCATTCGTTAAGATGTGATTGGGGTCTAATAGGAGGAGGTTCGGTTCGATCAGTCACCCTCTAAAGCACATAAACATAATGCACAATGTATATAAACACCATGTATGTAATAAGTATAATGTATACAAACAATGTATATAAACACCATGTATGTAATAAGCATAATGTATACAAACAATGTATATAAACATTCTGGGACGA